CTTCCGACTCTCAGTTTCAGCTTAGGTCATGATCTCACAGTTTTATGAGTCCGAGCTCCGCATCAGGCTCTGCGCTGACAGTGCAGAGCCTGCTTGGGATTTTCTCTCGCTCTTCCTCTCTCTCTGCCCCTCCCCTGCTCACGCTGTCTCTGTCTCCCTCAAAAATAAATAGACTTAAAAATTCAAAAAAAAAAAGAAAAGAAAAAGAATTCTCCATTTGTTCCAAAGACAAATCCCTTATTAAGTATATAATTTGCAAATATATTCACCAGTTCTGTGTGTTGTCTTTTCATTGCCTTGATGGTATCACTTGTTAGAACAAAAGTTTTTTAACTGTGATGAGGTCCAGTTTTATTATTTTCCTTTTGTTACTTAGGCTTTTAGTGTCATATCTAAGGGGACTTTGCTTAAGAGGGGCATAAGCACCTGGTATTAAATTTGCCATACTATAAATTTGCCTTTTACATACAAACTAACTGATACGTTGTTGTCTAAAATGATGCTTCTCGGAGCACCTGGGTGGCTCAATTGGTTGAACATCCAACTCTTGATTTCAGCTCCAGTCATGATCTCATGGTTTGAGGAATCAAGCCCCGCTAGGAGCTCTGCGCTGATAGCACAGAGCCTGCTTAAGATTTTCTCTCTCCCTCTGTCTCTCTTTGTCCGTCTGACCCACTTGTGCGCACGTGCTTTCTCCCTCTCTCAAACATTTTTTTAATATGTTAAAAATAAATAAAAATGTGATTTCTCAAATTCTTTTTTTTTTTTTTAATTTTTTTTTAAATTTTTTTTTTCAACGTTTATTTATTTTTGGGACAGAGAGAGACAGAGCATGAACGGGGGAGGGGCAGAGAGAGAGGGAGACACAGAATCGGAAACAGGCTCCAGGCTCTGAGCCATCAGCCCAGAGCCCGACGCGGGGCTCGAACTCACGGAACGCGAGATAGTGACCTGGCTGAAGTCGGACGCTTAACCGACTGCGCCACCCAGGCGCCCTGATGATTTCTCAAATTCTAATATGCACAGGCATCAACTTGCTGAAATGCAAATTTTGACTTGATAGGTGTGGAGTGGGACCTGAGAGATGCTGCTTTTCTCACAGGTTCTCAGATAGATAGCAGTGCTTCTGGTCCAGGGACCATAATTTCAGTAGCTAGGACCTAGCAGTTGTTTATATTTTATATCAAAGCAACAGGAACAGTGAAGATTAATTAAGAAAAGTAATCTCTGTATTTTGTATTTTAACTCTTTTGCTGTAGTTGCCCTTCATAAGATACGCATGCTCTGTTAGAGAAGAAACCTTTGAGAAATCTTAAGCTGATGAATGTTTTGTTGTTGTTGTTTCGGTTTCTAATCGCAAAAGATTTTAGGCTGGCCATCTTTGCTAATGTGGAATTAAAACAAAAGAATTTAATACCAAAACTTTTATATTAGTCAGCGTAACATTTTACTTAATCTTCTCAAATGTGATTCTCCACATAGGTGTTGGTGAGGAAAACATCTTGCTTTTATTTTATACTTTTTTTAATTTAAAGTTAGACCACAAAATGTGAAAATTGATTACCATGAATTTTCAGAGAAATATACAATATAAAGATGTTACTGCTTTTTTTATCAAAAGCCTGTTTGATGGTTAGTTTTATAAGGATTAATTCATAATCTGACTTCACTTTGTCCTGTTTCCCCCCCCCCTTTCCCTTTTCTAGGGGCAGCTTCATGACTTCTGGGTACCAGATTCTTAACAGGAGTTGAAGCAGCAAAAATATGAACCAAGAGAAATTCAATAAGAGTTTTTCCTAGAGGAGTAGAAAGAATACTACAAACTCCAGTGGAATGCTTAGAAAATGCGCTGCAATGTGCCACTTGAATGTCTAGTATGAAGCTGGTAATGAAGAAATTGCCATTTCTGAAGCAGATATGAAACGTGATCTGCTTAATTTTAAGGCAACTGGCCTTTTAAAAAGAGCAGAATCCTGTAACAAGAGGGGAGGAGTAGAAGCAACTAATAGTTGCATGTCGAATCTGCCCCTATTAACTGCTCTTGTTAAATTGTAAGCCAGTTATCCTTTTTTTTTTTTTTTTGGATTGTATTTATGGCACTTGGATAATCACAGGAAATATGTAGGAAAGGGTTTGAACCAACTTGAGCAGTTGGACATGGAAATCAAGACCAAGTTCCAGTTGAGTTTAATTTTCTCTTGGTTATTTTAGGACTCAAAAAGAAATCTTAGAACTGAGTTTAATAACAAAAAGGATAAATCTTTTCTGTAACTCCTATAAACCACAGGGAGATTTCAATCCATACATTTTCCTTCACTATTCAAGATTATAAATCTGTTAGGTTTTTAAAATACATTTAAAGAGTTGAGAAACAGAAATTTGGTATAGTGTTAGATCCTCCTTAAGGGGAAGAAGTTAAGCTATAAAATAGTATCTCCGTTTTTATGCCAAAACATTCATATGCCGTTTGTTTTGGATTCCTTTTAAGTGTATATATATTTTTTAAATACTGGTTAAATCTTAGATTCTTGGCTAAATCTTAGAATTCTGGCCCTTGGTTAGCCATATTACAGAAGTCTATATTATAGAAGCTTAACGATCTGGACAAGTTTCCAAAAACCTTACTTTCATGAGTATATAAGCTTGGTAGAGACCTGGATGGAGTTTATTCTTTGGAATATTGCACACGTTGTGTGTGCTTGTATTTTAAAGTTGTTGCACTTGAAAACCACAGCTGCTCTAAATTCTTAAACACTGGAAAGCCATCCTTTGGTTTAAATGGTGGAGGGTTAGTAGAAGTGCACATGCTGATCTTAGCCCAAGGGCCCTTTGAAGCCTTTGGTAGTAATAGACTCTTACTAGCTAACTGAAAAATTCTTTTGTTGATTGTCCTTTTAGGACGGTTTGTTTCTTGAATGAAAATGCCAACTTTTTTCTTTCAATGTTGACTTGGATGACACTGCTTTCCTGAGCATTCTCATGTCTCCAGTTGTGGTGGGGGAAGGACGATGGAGAGGAAGGGAATTGGACTGCGCGTTTATGATTTGAGAGGGGAGAAAATAAATTTTGACAAAATAGCTTTCTACCTCTAAATTGAGGCTTAGGAGAAAAAAGCATTTTATCTTAAATTTATCATTTACAATAGTATAAATAACTTTTGAGCCCATGTCAGGCATTGAGCAGTTAGAGATTTTATAGGGAAGACTTAGTAAATCCAGTTCCCAAGAACCCCAGCTGAATGAGGCTCCAAGAGTCAGACCAACAAAAGTTTTATTCTGTGTTGAGTTTACTGGTAAGAATATTATTATCTTGATACTACCTCTCAAGGGTATTATTAGAAAATGCCACTTATGGTTAATGAGATAGATACAAAGAGTTCTATTTGACAGAAGCTTGAAACTCTGGCATCTATCTGCCCAACAATGGGGGCTTTCACTCTTTGTAATTTAATCCTTTGTAGATACATCATTTGTGTGTAATTTTATAAGTGTTCATATTTTTCTCATTTTGCATTGTGTAAAGTGTACAAAATCTCAAAGTATAAAATACTGCTTATATTGCTTGTAATTACAGTGTGTAAATATTTTCTAATCGTGTACATTGACGGGGGGACAAGTGGGTTATTCAGGTTTTTTTTTAAGTGACCCTTTTGTATCGCAGTTTCAACAGATAACTGCTCATCAAATTTAAAACCACTTTGATACATTTTTATTTAGCAGTTCCAATAAGAAAAGTCTCTATTTTTAATTGCCTTTCTTCATTAGAGAAAAAGACTTCATCTGTCCCTTTAAAAATGGCCAGACATCGGTTTGGGCCCTTGTATTTATGACCCTGGTTAGATATCTCCATCTCCAGGTCATACTCCAGTCAGTATTTGCATTGGGTTCTCATACAAATCCTGTGATTCTCTTCTAGCACAAGTAGCCCATGACTTTTCTCCCAAATCAAGGATTATCCTTCTCCCTCTTGAGTCCCCATGTTTTGTCTCCCTCCTGCTGTTGTTGCCCAGCGAATGGGATGGTAGCGGGGGAGAAGATGTTCATTGCACAGAGAATGTCAGGCCACTTTTGGGACTTGGCAAACAAAGCTTGCACTGAGTGGTGGTGTGTTTGGCAATATTACTGTGCCAAAAATAATCTTGTCTAATTTTCTGGATATGTATGTCAAACTTAATACCCTTCTTGCAAGCTAAAAATTAAGGTACTTGTAAGTGTTTATGCTTTTGTGTGTAACTGTTTGCCTTTTCTAAACTGTTTTTCTCATTTTCAGAAAATAATAATTCTATTCATTATATCATGTTAAGTGAAGAGGCTCTCTGTGCACAAAACGCATCTATGTAGCAGTAAAGTAACAGCATTTGTACATTTCCTATCTCCTGATGGCAGTGGTACCTTTGTCACCTTTCAGAAGGTTGGCGTTTGGTTTTGTTTTGCAGTACAAATAATAGCTTGCTTTTGACTTCACAAAAATCTCCCCACATGTAAAAGAGAGATAAAGATGTGTTGTCATCCAGGCTCAGTTAGAGCATTTGCATTTTTATTTCTATCAAAACAAGTATAGTGGGTGGGGACTGGCCAGTAATAATGTGTGGAGTCTTTAAACCAAGGGTAATTTTTAAATTTAAAAATAAAAAATTTAAGAGGTGACCCATTAACAAGTGACTGAGTTGGAAAATTAGGGAAGGGACTGTCCTGGTTTGTCTCTAAGGAGGCAAGATTAGGGTACCGGTGGCTGGGCATGTAGAGCATGAACCGTGGTTGTTATTTCTTACTCATTAACAGTGTTGGTGCACCTCATTATCTGTGCATTTGTTTTCCCTGGGCAGTCCTGTCAGTGAGTTAATCCACCAGCTCTTAGGCAGTTCAAAAGTAAATGAAGATTTCTTTTCCTCTTTCCTTTTTTTTTTTTTTAAAGATTTTTTTACTACATCTTGTTTAAAGTCCCATGAATGTATGTGTGTGTTATTAAAAATGCTTTTTCTCAGTTTGAACATGTGTTTGGTAATATTTGTTTGGGAGTGGGGAATGGTGAAGTCTCTGGAATGTGCTGTTTCTTCCCCTGCCCCTAGTTTTTAAACTGAATTTTTTCCCCTCTTGCTTTGGATTCTTCAGTCTGTTTTTTAGCTTGATGTCTCCTATTTCTGGAAAACATAAAGCTATAGTAGCACACAGTTCACTTTTACATAACCCATATAATAATCTGCTGCATACTTGGTAGTCAGCAATTCAGTAATCTCATTCTTCCATTACCCCATTCACTAGGTTCATCAACAACTATTGCGTACCTGCTACATGCTAGGCACTCTTGAGAATTCAGTGGCGAACAACATAGAGCTCTCCTGACTCTTACCCTTCTGGTATCCAGGTGAAAATACTTTGGTGCTCAGCAAAGTGGACCGGAAAGGAATACCATTGGCCTGGCTCCCTTGTTCTAGAGCCCAGGGCAAAGAAAGGAGAAGCCATACAATGCAGAGGCAGGGCTCGGGACCACCTCCAACCTGCCAGGCAGATACGGTTGTGGGTATGCCAGCTGAGGGGAGACACAGGTTGATGACAACTCACAAGAGAAACTGTTAATGAGCTTATAGAAGGGTTACCAGAGGCCTCAGTTTCCAGAACCATACCAGTATTTCTGTCTTCTGACGGGCTGGTTTGGAGGAGACCACTTGTGAGCATTTTAGAGGTGGGGGGAGTGACAGCCAGGTGGAAGCATAGGTGCTGCCTGAAGTACAGAGAGACAGGCAGTACAGCCTTGTGCAAGTTAAGAGCCTTGACCTTGACCTTAGTCCTGACCTCAGATCCCAGACTGACCATGCCAAACCCTTGATCTTTGTCAAGTTACTTAACTTGTCTGAACCTTCATTTCTTCATCTGTTAAAAGGAATAATAATGATGTCTATCTCAGAACTTGTGAGGATTAAGTGAACTAATCCATGAAAAGTTCTTAGCAAGGTGCCTGACATATATGCTAAGTATTATTATTTAGCTCCAATTCAAAGCTCTTCTCAAATGACAGCTAAAATTGAACTTAAGGCAATTGGTGGGAGCGGGGGTGCAGTTCACTGACATCTAAGCAAACCAGATATTAAAATTGTAGTGTGGGTGTGCTCTATGCCTTCTGACAGCTTCAGAGGCTTCTCTGTCCAGCTCTGTCTCTACTGGTTAAAAAAGAATATATATATATGTAAGTTTGTGATGTTTTTTAGGACTCAGCATGCTAATACTGAGAAGGGGTGGTGGTTGGTGATTTTCCAGCATTTGTGGACATGTCCTGACACTCCCTTTTCCTTGCTAACCATTCCCCAGGCCGGAGTCAAGAGAGGGCAAACCAGAAGGCCCAGCTTTGGGTCTGACTCCAAGACGACTGGCTGGGAGGAAAACTTAACAGGCAAAACAGGCTTCTGAGGCACAGTGGAACAGTGAGACTACAGCATTGGTGCCCTGGTGACAGTCCCTACCGAAGAATCACCTCAGCTATACATACGGCCAAAGTAAAGATCACGCCACCCAAAGGGAGAGTGCTGGGCAAACCAGAGGTGGAGATGGCAAAGCAGGAACAGAAATGCTGCCACAGTGAACAGAAAGCAGGACAACTTGACTAGGCCAGAGTTCTTTGCCTCAGGGGACCTCTGCTCAAGTTTCAGGAGTTCATACCTACCCCCTTCACCTAGGATCCCTGCTACAGTGAGTAACTGCTCTGTGCGAAGCCTGGAGCAAACACTGGTGTGTAGGTGGCTGAGGACAACAGCCACTTTCTTACAGCGGAGTTGGGGAGAATAGTCTAGCAAAAACAAAAGCACGTTTTATGTTCCGTGCTTATGAAGTACAACAGAAGGTTTTCAGATCGGGTCCTCTCACAGCCACCCTGTGAAGCAGCTGGGGTTAGTGACTTTAAGGATGACTAACGACCTGCTCAAAGAATGCCCTGCCTGCGTCCCAGGACACATATCCATGGCTAGATTAGGGTTCGTTTCTTGCTTTGATTTTGAGTCGCCTCCACTGTCGATATTCCCCTCATTCATATTTTATCAGCTTGATTGCAGAGAAGAACATGGTCCATCAAAGGGGCTTCTCATAGAAAGTTCCATTAATTGTCATGACATCTGATCGTTTCATTAGGTTCAGAGATTAAAGTGGAAGGACAGCAGAGAGAAATGGATTGTGATCTAAATCTATATTATCAGAGATACACTGCTCAACTACTGTCTTGCAAGCTCCATGCTGGAACTCCGCATTGTAATTTACACATTTTGTTCATTTGGAATGTGTGAGGTTCTGAGTCTGCCATCGTACGCCTTGGAGGAGAAAGGCTTGCCTCACAGTGTAGGCAAGTGGGATGCTAAACTTGCCACCACATCACTACAGCTGCACAGGTACCTGAAGTCAGCGCTGTGAGTTCTGTGAGAACATGAGCTGCGTCTCTTAGCCCACTGGGCCCCTGCAGTTTCATTTGTCTCCTGTCTGGTATGATGGGGCTAGCAGCCTTCCTGCCTTCCCTCCACTGTCATCCCCAACCCACTTGCCCACAGGACTGCAGATTTATTTTTCTTAGCCATGGCTTTCCTGGACTTCCCAGCGTGGACTTCCTTAATCTATCAGGATTTTCTTCTGTGGTCTTTCTGGAACTATTTGCTGATTTTTCCCTTCTAGTTCCCACTAGGAGCCCTCCCATCTCATCACATCAAACTCACTTTTCTCTTTCACACCCCTTCCCTTCTGCCTACTCCTCCAGTATACGTCTGTGCATGTTTCTGCCTTTGATAATTCCCCTTCAGGTTTACCCTGTATCTCTCTTCTCAGGTTTTTCCGGTACAGATTCTCCTCTCTGTAAACACAACAGTGAATTTCAAGGCCAGTTACTTAACCTCTTAGAGCCCGTTTTTCCATCTATAAAATGGGGCTATTAATCCCTCAGGACAGAATGAGGGTACGGTGTTTTTAAATGAAGCCTGATAGTCTTTGTAAGTGTGTGTGTGTACGCTTTACCATATGCATTTCTCTCAGCTGCCTCCCTCTCCGCATACACACACATCCTATTTAGAGTTCTGGGGAAGTGGAAGTGTAGCGTGGGCCCTGCTGTCTAGCGATCTGGAGTCACACACAGCAGCCCAGACTACAAGACTGTATATGATGAAGTGCCAAACTAGCTTTGGGGGATATTCAGGAAAGAGGGGTGACATGTCTTTCCCAGGGTCCCTTCAGTTCAATAATGACAAGAGCCACTTGAATCTTGTTCACGTTCTCTCAGGCCAGGGTTCATCTGCCTGTTCCCTGACCCCCTGCCTCTCCAGAGCTCAGACACCCAGGTACCTGCAAGAGTCAGTTACCTATGTCCCTGTGGCCTTCATCATTTAAGTCCTACTCTTGGGCCCATTGCAATACTGGCATAAATGATGGAGGGAGGAGCAGGCCAGGTCATGGCTAGAGCTCCGGTTTGATTCAAACCCTAGAGGGGTCTTAAACAGGCCCTGAGGCAGAGGCATGGCCTCAGTTGCAGGGAAACCGCAGCACCAAATGTTGCATGGGAGGACCATCATGGTTGAGTCTGAGGAGTTGGGGAGTTGATTCTGAGGGGGGCTTCCTAGATCGCCGCGGGGTGAGGTGGTTGAGCCTAGGAGGGACAGAATGTCTAATTGCCTATGAGGAGAGTTCACTGGAAGATCTGGAGTAAAAATGATGTTCACCATGAGCTGGAAGGGAAGGAAGGCCCAGTCCCTGAGGAGGTGAACCCCATTACTAAAAGGTTTGGTTAAATGGACAGGTACAAACGGTTGTGGCTTATTCAGAAAAACAGCATTTTCTGTGTGAATTTCTTGCCAAGCTGTTACTTCATCCTTCCAAGCCCAACTCCTTTCACCCACTCACAGTCAAGGTGAAGGACCAGGCAGCCGGAGGCTGTGAAGCTGGGAATCCAGACCCAGTCCTATGTTCAGAGCTGCCCCCAAGGCTTGGCCTCCACCTACCCTGGCCCTCAGCACCCTGGGCAGAGAGCCCAAGAGCGTAGCAGGAACGCAAGAAGTGAGATCCATATTAGAAGACTGGTCAGAGGGCCCTCGGAAAGTTAAGCCCCCAGAGAACAGGTTTGCAAGTCCCCAACAGTAGGCAAGTCAGAGGGGTCCTGGGGTTAGAGGGGAGGCAAGGTGGGCCAGAAGCCCATGGAGAGAGCGCAGGGGTGGTGAGGCCACCACCAGGGGGCGATACTGGTGCTGCTGCCCTTGAGGGTGGAGGACGCCAGATGCCCGGAGGCCGTGTGAGCCTTGGCCTCAAACCTTTATCGTGTAGGGTGGGGGGCGCGAAAGAAGAGAGCGGCGCCCTTCCCTGCACCCCACCCTGTCGGCCCCGCCTCCCTGGCCCCGCCTTCCAGCCCCCGCCCCACCCCCGGCTCCGCCTCCACCCCCCGCCCCGCCTCCGGCCGCAGCCCCTTCCTCCCGCAGCTGGTGCTGTGAGGCCGCGGAGCAGCGCGTCGCCGTCTCTATGGCCGGGGATCCAAGCGCAAAGGTGAGAGAGGCAGGGAGCGCGGGCGGCGGCGGGGCCTGGGCCGGGGGGCGGAGGCCAGGCCAGGCCTTCCCTACATCCATTCCACCCTCCAAGCTGGGCCAGGCCTTTCTCACCGTCAAGTCCCGGGTCCTGCTATAAAGGCGCTGGAGGGGCGCGGGCCAGGCCTCCTGCCGTGCAGGGCGCAGACCCGCCACCGCGGAGTCGGGGACCGGCGCGGGGCGGGGACCCGCGTGGCGAACAGTGCTCCCCGGGATCTGGGTCACGTCTCCTGGCGTCCAGCGGGATCGAAGGAGAGCTTGTCCTCGAGCTGCAGCAGTAGAGACAGAGGTTAGATCTGAGGAGAGGGAAGACCCTCATACTGTCCAGGATGATGGAAGGAGAGGGTAGCGGGGGAAGGGCTCTCAGGCCAGAAGAGACGGCCATCCTACTGGCCCGAGGGGAATGCCGCCTACACTAAGCAGGTGGACGTCTGGGATGAAGGTCGAGAGCCTGCTGATCCAACATCGATCCTGTTTTGAGGGGGAGGGGGTGCCTCCGTTTCTCAGTTTCTTGAGCCCTAGGATCTAATACTCGGAAGGTGATCAGAGTTCAGGGGGCTGGCCCTAGGGAGGAACCCAAACTGTGCAACTGGGGGTGGAGTGTGGGGTGTAGACTGGAGACCTTGAAGCCTTGTCGCCACTGGGGGAGGGAGGGCAGCCGCTCCGCCCCCCCGTTTAGCCCCGCCCTCCCTCCCAACAGGTTAAATGGAGGCTGAGAGCCCCTGCCCAACTCCCATATCTAGAACGGCAGCATACAGGGGAGTGGAGCGGTGCTAAGTTCCATTCCATCTTTCTTTTGCTAAAGCGAGGGGCCTCCTTCCGTCTGGGTTAGGTACCCCTTCCTTTGCAGAGAAGCCCGTTGCATTTGAACATCTGAGGTCAGATGCCTCCCTACATCACCACACACACACACACACACACACACACACACACACATTTGGAATCTGGCCTTAAAATTGGGACTTTGAGGAAGGGAGGTAGTGCTGCTCTGCACCTCAGTGGACACTGGCAGCCTCCAACCCTGCAGTGAGAACTGGACCCCTGTTTGAACATATGCTGCCTTTGCACACATGTAATTTGTGTGTCTGAGCACTGCGTGAACATACATGTACTTGACCCTTCTGTTAACATGAACATGCCTGACCTACTGTATCAGTGGGTTTGTGTGCATGTCCCTACACATATGTATGTGCACGACCTTTCTGTGAATAGGTGTACAATCCTTCATATGCACACGTGTGGATTTATAACCCTCCTTAACTTCTGAGGCTGTGCGATCTGCTGAATGAATGGATGAGAATATGTGAATAGAGCCTTATTTGTCAATGTGTATGAACGCATCTGGCAGGCCCTTTATATGAGCATATGTGTGCACAAACCTCCCTGTGAATGTATGTGTGCATGACTCTCCTATGAGTACATTTGTTCACAGCCCTTCTGTGAACATGTGTGTATGTGCACCTATTGTGTGCACATCACCCCCTTCCGGACATGTGTGACTTCTGCCATGAACCACACTCTGAGTGGTTTCTCTAACCTGGAGTGTGTTCCTCCTGCCCAGTCCTAGAGCCTGATACCTCATAGCCGTAGGGCTCCCTCTCCACCCCTCACCCCACTTCTGCACTAAGCAAATAGGAGGCCCCAAAGGTAAACAGGTGTGCCTCCACAGTGAGGGGTGGGGCATGGGCAGTTTGCCTGGGGCCTCGTGCTGCCCAGCCCCCAGATGAGGAGCTGACGCCCTCTAGTCTACACTCTTCTCTACACTCATACTATATTCTCCCCCTCTGGGCTCTGACCACTACAGTGCTGACCTTTACCTCTTGAATAAATGCTCCAAATTCCTGTTTTCCCTCTGGCCGGATCCTAGTCCTTCCCCTCGCCTCAAGGCCACATAGTTAATATTTGACCTGGAAAGGAGGGGAGAGGCCAGTGGCCCTTGTGGCTGTGTCTGTGGGTGTCTGATGAGATTGGGTGGGTCAGGCTTCCTCCACACCCAGCCCAGTCCAGGAAGCCTTCAAGAGCCACCTCAGAGATCAGGCCTATTACAGGGGTCAGGGGAGATCTGCCACCTACTTCCACCCCATCCCCACATGACTTGAGAGAGAGTCCAGGTGTGGAATAGTCTCCAGGGTAAGCCAGGGGAGGTGGCCAAGAGCTCCCATCACTCACCATTTCCATGTTGCTTTTATCTCAACTGGCCTTGCACACTAGAGCATCCTGCATAGACATTACACCTGTGCAGTGCAGCCAGGGGGCCCCAGATACCCGCCCCCCCACCATGTCTATGAATGCCTATTTGCAGGTAGGGACACGTGTGGATGCCTAGCCAGAGAGTGCAGTACAGACTCGCATGGGCAGAGTAGAGATGTGCACCCCCTCGGAGAGGAATGCTGAGGAGGAGAAGTGTCTAATTAAAGAGAGATTCCAGAGGGAGCTCTTGGGCCAGGGAAAAGAAAAAACAAAGGGAAAACAGGACAAAATCAACAAAGGCCCATTAAATGTCTCTGCCAAGCTTTCTTGCATAAGGCACCCCCGCAGGCAGCAGGGGCAGCTGCTGCCCCAAGTTTGGTCCCATTGTTGGGAGGAGAAGGCATTCTCTCTGAAAACGGAGACGGAGGCCTAGCTTAGCCTCTGAGTTGGCCAGAGGAGGGTGGATACTTTGGGTTCGGGTTGGGAGGAGTCTAGGGTCTTGTAAGGAGGGCAAGTTCTAGCCAACTTGCATCAGAGCAGAGAAGTGGACAGAGCGACAGTGAGCCAATCCTGACGTAGGAGTTCTGTGGTCCCTCCCACCAGTGCCCCCTGAAGTCTGGGGGTAATGCCATCTACCTTCCACACACACACAGATAAAAGAGCTTTTCTACCCTGTTTTTTTCTTTAGAAAACGGACCTCAGAGAACCAGAACTAGTCCTGCTGTCGGGGCAGGGTGACCCCATCAGTGACCTACAACCCCCTTATGACCCCACAACTCCTTCCCACCATGGAGTTTGTATTTGATGCAGAAAAGCAGTGTGTGATCCATCCCTCCCTCTGACCTCTAACCTGGGATTCCATGGCCACACAACCCTGTGATTCCATGTCCCCTCGATTCCAGGACCCTCCCTGGCCCCATGACCCCTGACCTTCCAAGTGACCTCCCTGGACCTTGACCCCTGTGACTATTCTTGCCATCATACCCTGTGACTGTGGCCCTGGCTCCCCTTGGGGGTCTTACTGGTCTGGGCCTCCCCAGAAAAATGTGGGGAAGGCTCTGGCCCCTCTTCCTGAGCTTCCTCACAGCATCTGCAGTCCCTGGACCCTCACTGCGGAGACCATCCAGAGAACTAGATGCCATCCCACGGATGACCATCCCCTATGAAGGTTAGACGCCGCCCCCCCCCCCCCCCCCGCCAAATTTGAAACGCAGCAGGAGCCAGGTCTGGGAGTGGGGAGGACACCCCAGGGCTGGGCTCACGACTCCCACTCTCCCCAAGAGCTCTCCAGGACCCGGCACTTCAAGGGCCGAGCCCAGAACTACTCAACGCTGCTGCTGGAGGAGTCTTCAGCAAGACTGCTGGTTGGAGCCCGAGGTGCCCTCTTCTCTCTCAATGCCCGTGACATAGGAGATGGGGCTCACAAAGAGGTTAGCCCTTAGAACCTGGAACACCCAGAGGATCTCCGGCTTTATCCACCTCCCTGGGACCTCAATTTCCTGGAAGCCTCGCCAGCCTTCCACAGCCCCCTGGTCAGATAGCATGGCCCTTCCTAACCCACGTCTCCCTTACCATCCAATGCTCCTCCTGAAACCTACCTGTACCCCAGTTTCCCCTGTTCCCTGCAGTCCTATACCTGGTCCCACAGATAATGGTGAAAGGGAAGGGTCCTGGGGTCAACACATCAGCCCATTCCCTTTCCCTGTCTCCAGATCCACTGGGAGGCCTCCCCAGAGATGCAAAGCAAATGCCATCAAAAAGGGAAAAACAACCAGGTATGTGGTCTGTCCTTTCCCCAGCTCCTTTCCTTCTCTTCAGTTGGGGATGTCAAGGTTGGTGGGGACACAGATGGAGAGGTATGGATCAGCCAGTCAGTTGCAGCAACCACAGCAAACACGTGAGTGTAGCCAGAGTGGTGGGCCCTAGGTGCAGCACTTCTAATCCAAACAGCTGGTCACCTACCAGCTTGGCCTGTAGTGGCATCTGAATCTCTTCTGGGCTCCTGAGTAAGAATCATGATAGAAATAAGTAATCTCTAGTAAATGCTGACTTAGCCATTATCTCTCCTAATTCTAAAATAACCCTATGAAATAGTACTATCCTCCATTTTACAGATGAGACAAATGAGGTTTAGTCAAGGACAAGCTCAAATACCCAGTATTCCATGGAGGGCTGTTAGCGAATTGCCAGTTCTTTCAAGCTAAAGAACAGGGTGTCTGCAGGGGTTCCATGTCTGGCTATGTAACAGATCCATCTGGAGAACTTTTTAAAAATACACATTCCCAGGGGTGCCTGGCTGGCTCAGTCAGTAGAGCATGCAACTCTTGATCTCAGGGTCATGAGTTCAAACCCCACATTGGGCATAGAGCCATCCCCAAAAAGAAAGAAAAAAAACTATATTCCCTGGCCCAGGGGTTCTGATTCAGTGGGTCTAGGGTGGTGTCGGGATAGGTGTGTTTAACGAGGCACCACTAAGAGATTTCATCAAAAGTGCTGCTGGAGCAGCATGGGTAGGAAGTGGGGCTGGTGAAGCAAGTGGAACCCAGTCACAGAGCACTGCAAATGCCCAGCTAGAGGTATGGGTTTTATTCTGTGACAGTGGGCACGCTCACCATTTGGTACTTTAGAGACTCTCAGACTTTAGTGTGCACAAGAATCACCTGGGTATGGTATAAATGCAGGTGCTAACTCAGTCAGTCTGGGGAAGGGGCCCAAGATTCTGCAATTCCAACAAGCTTCCAGAGGAAGCTGATACTGTTGCTCCCCAAGCCACACTTTGGGTAGCAAGGCTTCAGGAAGACAATTCCCAAAACATGTTCTGAGAAACATTAATTTTCAAAAGGGGGGTTTAATGGTCAGATGAGTTTGGGAAATGCTGTATGCTTAATCCCACAGTGTACAGCAACATCCCTAAGGCCCTGAGAAGTCCCCTGGCAAGGCAGGTTTTAGCCATGGTTTCCAACTTATTTGACCACAGAACTCCTCCCTCATCCCCCCTTATTTTTTTGTTTGTTTATTTATTTAAGTTTATTTTGAGAGAGAGTGTGTGTGCATGAATGGGGAGGGGGGGCAAGCAGAGGGTGAGGGAGAGAATCCCACACAGGCTCCTCATGGGGCTTGATCCCACAAACCATGAGTTCATGCCCTGAGCCGAAATCAAGAGTCAGACACTTAACTTACTGAGCCACCCAGGTGCTCTCCTTCCCACCCACCCCCATCCCCCCCCCCCCCCCCCCCCTTTTTTTTTTTTTTTTTTTAGTGTTTATTTATTTTTGAGAGAGAAAGAAACAGAGCATGAGTGGGGAGGGGCAGAGAGAGAGGGAGACACAGAATCCAAAGCAGACTCCAGGCTCCGAGCTGTCAGCACAGAGCCCAATGCGGGGCTCAAACTCACAAACTGTGAAATCATGACCTGAGCCGAAGTTGGACGCTTAACCGACTGAGCCACCCAGGGACCCCGACCTTTTTTAGTGTAAACATCTTGGGGAAACACTACTAGAGTAATACTAATCCAGGCCCAGGCACTAGATGGATTAAAATGGAGTAAGTCTATGGGACACCTGGGTGGCTCAGTTGATTAAGCATCTGACTCAGTTCGTGATCTTGTGGTTGGTGAGTTTGAGTCCTGCAAGGAGCCTGCTTGGGATTATCTCTCTGCCTCTCCCCTGCCCTCTCTCTATCTCTCCCTCAAAATAAATAAAAATAAACTTAAAGAAAATCCTTCTAAAAAAAAATCATAAAATAAAATAGTGAGTCTGGAGGCAGGAAAGGCAGTGAAGGTTGGGGGCATCATGGGGGTCAGAGAAGGAAGGCATGAGCAGGCTAGTGGAGAGAAGGGACCCGGGGAGGCAATGGGATGAGACAAAAAGGCCTGCATGGATTCAAATCCTGGGTAACAAGCAGGAGGAGGAATCATGAACAAGGCAAACAAGTCGGGGGGGGGGGGGCTTAGCTTGAGGCATTTAATGGGCAGAGAAGAGCAGTGTGGCTGGAGCAGGTGAGGGAGGGGAAGAAGGGGCAGAGCCCTACCATGCAGGGCCGGAAGTGGTAGGCTATGTTCAGGACTCTAGTGGGCCACTGAAGGTTTTTTAAATACAGCAGTGACACGATCTGGTTTACATGTTTAAAATATGCCTTGGAAAGTGGGTTGCCAGAGGGTGCTAATCGGTAGAATATCTCTGGAAGGAAACCAGACAATGGTAAGAGCAGTCCCCTTTGAAGGCAACAGGGATAAGAGGAGACGCTCTGTTTACAACCTATCCCTTTGTACCTTCTGAATTTTACACTGTGTACATGCATTCCTCACTCATTGAATAAACAAGTAGCTTTTACAGAGTGGCGGAGGCTTGGGAGAACTGTCAGGCAGTCTCTACAGTTGTCCAGGGAAGAGGCAACAGTGGTGACATGGACTAGGGTGGTGGAGGTGGAGGGGGAAGTGGACCACGTCAGGAGACATGATGACAAAGAATCTCGAGGAAGGACTGAACATGGGGGTGAGGGAGTGGGAAGCAGCAAGGATGACTCCTGGAATCGACTAATAGGATGGATGGATGAAGTGAGGTGGGAAAGACTGGATGAACAGGTTTAGGAGGGAAGATGCAGGTTAGGGAGGAGGGAATGAGCTAGCTATTGGGTGGAGAGAGGGCAGAGCCCGGGGATACATTTGGTAGTGTCACCCCACAGGGGGTGTGGGAGCTCCAGGACTAGGGGACACTGCTGAGAAGGAGATGTGAGAGAAGTATCTCAGGGTGGTGGGAGCCCTGGGGGCCCCCGAACTGGGGGGTGCCGAGGGCTGCAGGCCATGCAGAAGCTGGCAAAATGTGTCAGGTAGTCCTGACAGTGAGATAGAAGACTGAAGAGGGGTCAATGCCGCTGGGAAGCCCAAGGACAGTGGGTTCCAGGGAGTAGTCTGCGTTCCGGGCAGTGAGCAGGCCCACTGGGAACTCAGAACTGTGTCGGGTGGGTGGGGGCAAGAGCCAAACTACAACGCTGGATTAACGGAAAAGGCCTCTAAGCAGGCTGGGGACTCACAGCCCTCCCCCACGTCCCCCCCAGACGGAGTGCTTCAACCATGTGCGATTCCTTCAGCGACTCAATGCCACCCACTTCTATGCATGCGGGACTCACGCCTTCCAGCCTCTCTGTGCAGCCATTGTGAGTAGGCCTGCCCCAGCCCAGCTCTTATTGCTGCTCCCTGGCCCTGGACCAGTCTGAGCTCGGGCCATGACCCCTGCCTGTCCTCGAGACCACTGACTTCTGGCCTCGTAATCCTCCAGGATGCTGAGGCCTTCACCTTGCCAACAAGCTTTGAGGAGGGGAAGGAGAAGTGTCCTTATGACCCAGCCCGTGGCTTCACAGGCCTCATCATCGGTGAGCGTGCACTCCTCCCCACCCTGGCCCCTTATCCATCAGCGTGCTCTTTGGGGGACACGGACCTCGTTGCTAGGACTTGCCACTGATATGTGTTATGTGCCTTATTGTATGTGACGTGTCTGTCACGCGTGGCATGCCTGTGCTCCAGATGGAGGCCTCTACACAGCCACACGGTATGAATTCCGGAGCATCCCTGACATCCGCCGAAGCCGCCACCCGCACTCCTTGAGGACTGAGGAGGCTCCGATGCACTGGCTCAATGGTTAGGAGGATGAGGCACAGGATGTTGGGGGGCAGGGGACTATTCATCTTTACTCCCTTGGGCAGTTGACATCCCATCCCCAAATTCCCAGGTGAGCCTGTCTATTCCTGAGTGTGGTTGAGTGAGGGGTAGTGGAGGGGATCCCCATCCTGTCTCAGGGGCCACTTGAACTGCCCAACCTGCAGATGCTGAGTTTGTGTTCTCCGTCCTGGTACGGGAGAGCGAGGCCAGTACAGTGGGAGATGACGACAAGGTTTACTACTTCTTCACGGAGCGGGCCACTGACGAGGGCCCCAGCAGCTTCACCCAGAGCCGCAACAGCCACCGTGTGGCCCGTGTGGCCCGTGTGTGCAAGGTGAGTGGCACCAAGTTTGGCCCAAGAGTGTACAAGCGGAACCTCTGACGCTGACCCTGTGCCCTACCTCCCCAGGGAGACCTAGGAGGAAAGAAGATCTTGCAGAAGAAGTGGACCTCCTTCTTAAAGGCGCGTCTAGTCTGCCACATTCCACAGTATGAGATGCTACGTGGTGTCTGCAGCCTGGACACGGACACCTCAGCACGCACACACTTCTATGCGGCCTTCACGCTGACCACACAGTGGTCAGTGCAGGGACAGTGGGGACACAAGGAACTGGGGACAGCCTGAGGCCTGGAGCAGAGGTCAACGAGGAGAAATAGGATCCCTTGTGGGGAGGCTGGCTGCAGAGAGAGAATTCCAGGCACATCCAGCTAGCCTGGAGCCAGAGGCCACAGTGGCCTCCTGACCCTTAGGAGAGGCCCTGAGGCCAAGAGCTGGGGTTGGCCAGGGTTAACAGTGAGCTCCAGGCTGGGGCAGGTGGCAGGGGGGCAGGCTCCACCCAGTGTGGCTCAGGCCCCTCCCCTACGTCCCTTCCTAGGAAGACCCTAGAGGCCTCAGCCATCTGCCGCTACGACCTGGCCGAGGTGCAGGCTGTCTTCGCAGGTCCCTACATGGAATACCAGGACGGTGCCCGGCGCTGGGGCCGCTATGAGGGTGGGGTGCCGGAGCCCCGGCCCGGCTCAGTGAGTGCCCAGGCCTGGGGTCAGTGCTGAGTAGACAGAACCCCCGGGAGGGGCAGGAGGGCCTAGCCTTGGGGGGGGGGGGGGGGGGGGGGGGGGGGGCACGCAAGCAGTAGATTCCTGAGGTTCACTGCCTCTGCCCCCCATCCCAGTGCATCACAGATTCATTGCGCACTCGCGGCTACAACTCATCCCAGGATTTGCCATCCCTCGTCTTGGACTTCGTGAAGTTGCACCCACTGATGGCTCGGCCCGTGGTGCCCACACGAGGACGGCCCCTGCTGCTCAAGCGCAGTGTGCGCTATACACACCTCACGGGGACGCCTGTCACCACGCCTGCCGGACCCACCTATGACCTGCTCTTTCTGGGCACAGGTACTTTTGACCCCTGGCTGGGCCCTTTGGTAACTGCTGACCTGGGTCCTTGATCCTCGTTGACCGCTCATCCCCTGAATGACTTTTGATTACAAAACCCTGGTGACCAATGATGTTGATTCTTCAGTGAACACTCACTACTGACCCCCAGTGACCACTGGCTCTTGGTACCTGCGGATTCCTGTCACCAGCCACAGTGATATTTGACCCTGATCACTAATGTTTCTGGACCCAACAATTCCTGCCATGACAAGCCCAGAGTTCCCAGCCAGGGAACTGTTCCCAGTCCTGAGTAACTATTACCGGCTGAATCCTTGTCCCTGACGTCCTGGCTCCCAAGCTACTCCCATTAGGCTATTGCAGGGGGCTGAAAACAGATTCCATTTCTGGGTTCTGACCCTCTGCCCTTTCCATACCAGCTGATGGCTGGATCCACAAGGCCGTGGTGCTGGGTTCTGGGATGCACATTATCGAAGAGACACAAGTGTTCAAGGAGCCCCAGTCTGTGGAAAATCTGGTCATCTCTCCAATGCAGGTAGCCTCTGACCCACTACTTGCCAGAATAGGGGGAGGGAGTGGGTGGCTGGGCAGTGGCCGTGTGTGTCTGTAGGTGGGAGCTGGGGGTGTTGCCAACCAGCTTTCCTCTCCGGCTCCCAGCACAGCCTTTACGTGGGGGCCCCTAGTGGTGTCATCCAGCTACCACTGTCGAGCTGCTCCCGCTACCGCTCCTGCTATGACTGCATCCTGGCCCGGGACCCCTACTGTGGCTGGGACCCCAGCACCCATGCCTGCATCATAACCAACAGGTCCCAGGGTAGCAGGTAAGAGGTGGTAGGGGTGTGAGGGTCCCGTGTGAACAGGGGATCAGGGCCTGAGGGGAGGAGGCGGGCCTGCTAGCTGGAGGGGGAGTGGGGGGCGGTTGTTGGCAACAGCATCATTGACTTCCACTGGGGAAACTAAAGCTCAGTTCCCCTGTTCGTGAGTTTAGGACAGCACTGATACAGGACATAGAGAGAGGAAACCGAGGCTGTGAAGGCAACAAGGACACAGGTAAGTGACAGGCATGGACGTGTGTAGGCCCGGCTGCATAGCCTGTCCTCTACGTTTACTGTCATTTGCCTGTGCGTGTACGTATCTGAATGGTTGTGTCTGTGTGCTTTCAGCGAGGATGTTCCAGCACAGTGTGGCACAGAGTAAGTGCTCCACAGACATCTATTGCCCTAAAGGATTATAAATGAGGAGAAAGGCTCATGACATAAAAGTTCTTTTTGTCACACCTGAGCTTATAGCCAAGTGTGTGCTGGCGGGGGCGGGAGGGGGGGCAATTAAATGATCACACAAGTAATTCTTTCCATTGGTTTTTGCTACAAAAGGAATACTTACAACTATAACAAGGATGTGAAGGACAATGAATACTCCCCTGAGGAAGATCAGATGACTGAGCTGATACCTAAAGGAGGAGCGGAAGTTAATAGTCATACTAACATGTACTGAGTACTTACTCTGTGCCAGGCGCTGACCAAACACGTACACACACGATCTCTCTTATGCTCACAGCATTGCTAGGAGAGAGGTGCCACGATCCCCATCCCTATGAGGGGCAATCTCTCTGAGGTACAGGGAGAGTAAGTACACTGCCCAAAGTTAATAAGCTATTAAGTAGTGGGGTCAGAATTCAAACCTGACCCCGAACAGTCTGACTGGAGTTTGTGCTTTTCATTACTTCTGTGCTCTTTCCCCCTGGCCAACCAGCAGAGGGCATGGAGAGGGGGGTGACATCCAAGCAGAGGGGACAGCAGGCCGATGAGCTTGGGGTGTTTGCCAAGAGGCTGGAGAAGTGGGCAGGGACCATGTTGAGGCAGGGAAGTGGCACAATCAGTGTGGTGTTTTAAATTTTTTTTCAACGTTTTATTTATTTTTGAGACAGAGAGAGACAGAGCATGAACGGGGGAGGGGCAGAGAGAGAGGGAGACACAGAATCCAAAACAGGCTCCAGGCTCTGAGCCATCAGGCCAGAGCCCGACGCGGGGCTCGAACTCACGGACCGCGAGATCGTGACCTGGCTGAAGTCGGATGCTTAACCGACTGCGCCACCCAGGCGCCCCAAAGTGTGGTGTTTTTAAAAGGTTACCCCACTCCTGCATGGAGAATAAATTACATGGGGGCCAGAGTGGGCCAGCAGCTGGGGAAGGAGAGAAGTGAACAGGGCTGAGATGGATTCTGGAAGCAGAATCCTGGTGAGAATTAGACACGAAGCTGAAGGAGAGAGAGAGGCAAGGGGACTCCCCGGTTTCTGACTTAAGCAGCTGAGTAGCTAGCTACTGGTGCCATTCACTGTGACAATTCAAGGAAAAGACCTGGTGTAGTTTGGGACGGAGGCTTTGGCCTTAGTTCCTGTGCCATGTTCAAGAGACCTCCCGTGGAGATGCCCTGTGTGTGGAAGATGTTCAGGTCTGTCGATCAGGGGAGAACTCTGTGCTAGAGACTGAGCTTACAAATCATTGGCAGATAGCACGCACTGAAAACCACTGAGACGGGCCAATGCAAACCTTAAACGGGAACACAAACGCAGGAGACCTCATTCAGTTGTCACCAGGATTCCAGATTTGCGCTTGGTGCTAGGGACGTAACAGTGAACCACCTGACCTGCCATCTCCAACGCCCTCCCTCAGATAGACAACACTGACCACTCCTCTCACCGCCCCCCCCCCCCCCCCACGGCCACCACCACCACTGAGAACCCGCTCTGTCCTCCGAGGTGACGATGTTCTCCTGCCCTGTGACCAGCCATCCAACCTGGCCCGGGCCTTGTGGCTGCTCAATGGGAGCATGGGCCTGAATGACGGACAGCATGGCTACCGCGTGGGCGTGGATGGGCTGCTGGTGACAAACATACAGCCTGAGCACAGTGGCAACTATGGCTGCTATGCTGAGGAGAATGGCCTCCGCACCCTGCTGGCCTCCTACAGCCTCACAGTCCGGCCAGCCACTCCTGCCCCAGCTCCACAAGCCCCTGCCATGCCCGGGGCACAGCTGGCACCTGACGTGAGGCTACTGTATGTGCTAGCCATCGCTGCGCTTGGCGGCCTCTGCCTCATCCTGGCTTCCTCCCTCCTCTATGTGGCCTGTCTTCAGGGAGGCAGACGAGGGCGTCGAAGGAAATACTCTCTGGGTCGGGCTGGCCGGGCAGGGGGCTCTGCTGTGCAGCTGCAGACAGTTTCAGGCCAATGTCCTGGAGAGGAAGACGAGGGTGATGATGGGGAGGGGGCTGGGGGCCTGGAAGGTGGCTGCCTCCAGATCATCCCTGGGGAGGGAGCCCCAGCCCCACCGCCTCCGCCACCCCCACCACCACCGGCCGAGCTGACCAACGGGCTGGTGGCACTACCCAGCCGGCTGCGCAGGATGAACGGCAACAGCTACGTGCTCCTGAGGCAGAGCAACAACGGAGTGCCAGCAGGGCCCTGCTCATTTGCTGAGGAGCTCAGCCGCATCCTGGAGAAGAGGAAACACACACAGCTTGTAGAGCACCTGGACGAGAGCTCTGTCTGAGCCCAGCCTCCTAGGACAAATGCTCTTCCAAGCCAGCCTGTCTGCCCCAGGCTGGGCTGCTGCTTCCCCAACACAGCCACTCTACCTTCACCTCCCTCCCCCCAACTCCAGGCCCTTCTCCCAACTTTGTGATGTCCCTGTAGGGCTGGCAGAGTCAGGCCCAGCCAAAGTCCCCTCCTCAGTCTCCACAGACCCATCTGTGAGCAGCCCAGGCCCACCGGTGCTCCTCAGAGGTGGGTACTCCCCCAGGACGTGGAATTCTGTAGACCCAGCCCCAGTTCCTATTCCCTTACCCCAAGCACTTGGGAGGAGAGGATGCCATCTTCCTGCCCCATTTGTCTGTTCAAATCCTTCCTCTTTCTCCCAGGCAGGGCTCTGCAGGTCCAGATGACCTCAAGGTCACCACCCTCTGCGTGGCCCTATGTGCTGGATGGTCCCGAAACCAGACAAGACCTCTACCAGCCACCAGAGCCACCTGAGCCCTGCATGCATTCATGTGTGCACACGGACGAATGTCTATCAGCTGGGCTGCAGGGCCCCCACCCCCATCTCCTGGAACATTGTGTTGCATCTCTCCTGGACTTTGGGTACCCTTCCAACGGCCATATCCCATCCTATCTAGGTTTCTCCCCTAGTCCCAGCCCCATGTGGTGACCTCTTTGGCAAAAGCTTGGGAACAGGCCAGTCTGGGGAGGTAAGACTGTGTCATTCCCCTCTTCTTCCTTAACGTGCAGCCCTCTTTGGTCAACCTCCTCACCCCCTTGGTCACTCTCAAGAGTGACAGACAGAGCCCCAGGCATGTCCCTTCACACACGTGCTTACATTTCCACTTGCATTTCTGAGCCTCCCTTTGCTGCCTCGGACCTGTATCTGTTGGGATTGGTCCATGGACATTTCAGAGGGAGAGCCCTCTCCCATTCAGCTGTCCTCTCAGACATTTCCCTAGAAAGGGTGACCAACACTGCAATGAGCCAGCCTCCCTTTTGGGGACCAAGCATTTGCTACCCCCAGACCAGAGCAGGGGGAGGAGATCTGATGTCTCACCTGGCACATGAAGCCCGTTCTTGGAACTATGCAAAGGGCAGAGGCTGGGAGTTTGGATGCTTGGCTCCCATCCCTGTCCTACCTCACCGGGGCACTTTCAGGGTCCAGGGGCCTCTGAAGTCTCCAGGCCCATATGGGACAATCAAATCCTGACTGAGCTCCCCCATTCCCCTTGGGTGAGGATGACTGTTATTTTTGTAGCTGAGAACGTGGAATCCCACGGGTTTTTACTGCCCTTCACCCAACTTCTCCCACCTCCACCCCACAATGAATGTATTTATTGTGAGAACGGCTACACTTCTTTAGGAATGCCCCCACTCACCACCAAGGTGGGCAGAACAGGCATGTGACAGAGTGGGGAGCCTGGGCTCAGCTCCTCCCCCTCCTGTTGGTTAATAAATACCCTCTTTCCCCACAGCCATGTGTGGTCCGCTTGGTCTAGACTGGCCTTCCCCTGGTCACCAGGGGGCAGGCTTCTGATTATGGAAATGGTGCTGCAGGGTTGGCTCTGCTCCCCATAAAACCATTTGCAGAGGAAACTGGGATCCTCAGGTTCCATCTGACTGCCCTGGGTGGATACACAGGCCTTTATAACGTTCTCACTACTCACTGATCATGGTGGTATGGGCATGACAAACAAAATTACAACACTTCAAGAATTCATACAAAGGTTTCTAGGTTTTTACCTCCTAGCTCTATTCCTCACTATTCCTCCCCCTTGTTTTGGCTAAGCCTAGAAGATGCTCTGTTTATCAGCTCTCTTGCTCATCCCCAAAAGCTTTTCAGTCCCGTCCCTCCCCCCAACAAGGGACAACATGAATTCATTTCTGCAGAGGGGCCTGTCTTGGGGAGTAGTTAGTAGTTAGGACCAGGGCAAGCTTGTTACCAGGGACCTGGCCTAAGAATCAGTCTCCAAGGGTTAGGACTGGATAATCACATGGCCTCTAACAGTAACCATCCTGAAGGGTTGTATGTTCCCCTTCTGGTTTTAGGATAATGAAAAATGGGGTTAGACTTAAAATATACACATATTTTGAAGATCTCAAGTGTAACTTTGGGCAAGTTTATTAACCTCAGTTTTCTAATCTAAACATTTACACGGATGTAAAGTGACTGTCCTAATGCCAGGCTCACAGCAGAATCTAAGGTGCTAGCTCTCTCTAGTTCAATGGTTGCAGAAATAGGACATGGATGGGAGGGGCACCTGGGTGGCTCAGCCAATTAAGCATTCACTTTGGCTCAGGTTATGATCTCAGTTTGTGGGTTTGAGCCCCATATTGGGCTCTGTGTTGACAGCTTAGAGCCTGAAGCCTGCCTTGGATTCTGTGTCTCCCTCTCTCTCTGGCCCGCGCCCCCGCCCCCCCCCCCCCCCCGCCCACACGGGGGGTGTCTCTGAAAAATGAATAAATGTTAAAAAAAAAAAAAAAAGAAAGAAAGAAAGAAAGAACTGGGACATCAGAGATTCCTCAGAAGCCAGTCTTGAAACCCCACACCTGGATTTGAGATCACTATTATCAGTCTGGATTACAGAGAAATAAAAACCTATAAAATCCTTGAAGAATCAGGTTTCAAGGATGTCAACTGGGCGATTAATTAGGAGACTTAACAAAGTCACTGCCCCTCCTCCTATGCAACGAAGACAAGCAGCTCTTCTTTATCCCAAGCAAAAGCTTTGGCGTCAACTTCCCTTTTGGTGGGCTCCATCTGCCTGCGTGGGCTTGGAATCCCCTGAACCAGAGAGTAAGAACCACCTCCACTGGGGCAAGAGTCCAAAGCCTGGGATTGGAGTTGTTGGGGTAACTCTTCATGGCACTTGCACCTGGGCTGGGGCAGCATCCTGGACTTCTCGCGGGCACAGCCCGCCCAACGTTGTCGGTTTGTTGGTGAAGGGGTGCCACTGGCCCTGGATGCTAGGGCTGTCCGTGTGGAAGGGCTTACGGATGCGGATCACTTCCAAGCCCGACTGGTCCGCCAGTTTCTGCACCAGCGTCGCAATCTCCGCCACTGACTTGCAGTGGATGCTCTCCTCGCGCACAGCCCCGTTAACTGGCCGAAGGGAGGGGGTGGGGGGAGAGGAAGCGGATGGATCAGGGTAAGACGAAAGGAAGGCGAGCCGGCGGGGCACCCCCCCCCAGATGCCGCCCTCCAGCCCTCGTCCGACCCCACTCACGGTACTCGGCCACTACTCTGGGCACACAGCACGGCCGCGAGTTCACGTATATTACGACCCCCGGGTTCCGTCGGGCGAAGTCTGCCACCTCCCTTTCCACGAACTCCCTGAGGAAGCCCAGAAGAGTAAGCACGGCGACCCCCGACCCTGGGCGACCTCTGCCCCGAGAGCACCCCGCGCCCTGCGCCCGGCTCACCTGGCGCCGCGGGACGAGGGCGCATCGCGACTGAGGCTAAAGCTGAGACGCTGCAGCTGCTGCACGTAGCGACCCAGACCGTTGTGGAGGACACTGGCCAGAAAGCGGCTCGGGGTCCCTCGCGCCGTCATGGCTACACCGCCCAGGCAGCCCAGCCCAACCTCGCGGGACGGGGGCGGGACGAACGCCGGGACTTCCGGTTCCGGGAACACACGCGGCCGGGGAGTTTTGCTTCCGCGGTCATGGCCCGGGGCGTGGGACAGTGACCCACGTTGCGGTCGAGAGGGGTGAGAGGAAGGTGGTGATGCGCGGCCACGGTCGCAAGCGGCACAGCTCTTGGCAGTAGAGTCGAGGGAGGACCCGGGCGCGGGGGCGAGGTGAGCGCGGGGACCGGCGGGAGCCGCCGGGTGGCGCTCTACTTGTGGTGAGTCCTCTTTGAAGGAAGGAGCGGCGAGGAGAGCCTCGAGTTGGGGGCTAGCGCCTTGAGGCCAGGAAGGGCTCAGGCGGCGGTAGAGATGAGGACGACCAGGAGATCCCCCGGAGGGGCGGGAGTGGTAAAGAGATGATCTAGACAAGGCACAGCGGTGAGGGGCAGTGTGGAGGGTCGTAGAGGTGAGGTGGCTGCACAGGGCCATGGAGACAGAGAGCCAGATAGAAGCCCACGGACGTGAAAGGGTCCTGTAGATGGCCATAGATGTGAAGTAGCAATGCGCAGGGGCTGAAGAGGATTCAGAGAGATGTTTATGAGGGAGAAGTTGGAAGAAAGAAACCACCTCCAGTGGGCTCTGTAGAGTGCTGCGCCGAGGATCCCTGGGGTCTGACCTAGCGAAGGCCCCCCGAACAAGGCACGGAAGGCATTTCAAGTAGTGACTTCCTCGGTTTGACTAGGAATGTGGGTACTCCTTCGAGGTGGGTACCCCCTCCGTATCCTGCTGCCGCTGCGTGGGGAGTGGATGGGTCGCAGGGGCCTGCCCAGAAGCCTGGCCCCAGGCCCTCCTCGAAGACGGTACAGGAAGGAGGCTCTCCCAGCCTTGGAGGTACCAGTGTTGCCTGTAACTGCAACTGAAATCCGCCAATATTTGCGGGCACGTGGGATCCCCTTCCAAGATGGCCACAGCTGCCTGCGGGCACCCAGCCCCTTTGTAAAGGCCTTGCCGCTCAAGGACCAGAATGGTGCTACTGCTTCCTTCAGCCTCTTCATTGACAAGACCACAGGCCGCTTTCTCTGCATGACCAGTCTAGCAGAGGGGAGCTGGGAAGACTTCCAGGCCAGTGTGGAGGGACGAGGAGATGGGGCCAGAGAGGGAGTCCTGCTCAGTGAGGCCCCAGATGTGGAGGACAGTGAGGAGGTCCGGAGGATCTGGGACCGAGCTGTACCTCTCTGGGAGCTGCCTGAGCCGGAGGAGGCCCAGCTGGCTCGTGTGATGTTTGGCCTTACCAGAGTGACAGATGACACGCTCAGGCGTTTCAATGTGCGGTATTTGCGGCCGGCTCGCAGCCTTGTCTTCCCTTGGCTCTCCCCTGGAGGTCTGGGATTACGAGGCTTGAAGCTACTAGGCGCTGAAGGCCAGGGAGATGGAGTGCACTACAAGGAAACCACAATTCCCCGGCCTGGGGTCTACCGTAATCTGTTTGGATTACCACTGATCAGTCGTCGAGATGTTGAGGTGGTACTGACGAGTCGTGAGCTGGACAGCCTGGCCTTGAACCAATCCACAGGGCTGCCCACCCTTGCCCTACCCCGAGGAACAGCCTGCTTACCCCCTGCCTTGCTCCCTTACCTCGAACAGTTTCGACGTATTGTGCTCTGGCTAGGAGATGACCTTCGGTCCTGGGAAGCTGCCAAGTTGTTTGCCCGAAAACTGAATCCCAAGCGATGCTCCTTGGTGCGGCCTGGAGACCGGCAGCCCCGGCCCCTGGAGGCCCTGAACCGAGGCTTAAGTCTTTCTCGTATTCTGCGTACCGCCCTGCCCGCCTGGCACAAGTCGATCGTGTCTTTCCGGCAGCTTCGGGAGGAGGTGCTAGGAGAATTGTCAAATGTGGAGCAGGCAGCTGGCATCCGCTGGAACCGCTTCCCAGACCTCAATCGTCTTTTGAAGGGACATCGGAAGGGCGAGCTGACAGTCTTCACAGGTGAGCCTTGGGAAATCACTTCTTGGGGTAAGAGGCAGAGGATCAGGTGATGAAACGCATGTGGGTTTGGGCCATGGCAAATGTTAAAGAGGAGGCTTCTCCCAACTTTGAAACCCTTGCTCCGGGTCTTAATTTTAAGGGTAGAACTTTCCTCCCTTACCCAGGTCTGTATTCAACCCCCTGCAGGGCCAACAGGCAGTGGGAAGACCACATTCATCAGTGAGTATGCCCTGGATTTGTGTACCCAGGGGGTAAACACGCTATGGGGTAGCTTTGAGATCAGCAACGTGAGACTCGCCCGGGTCATGCTGACACAGTTCGCTGTGGGGCGGCTAGAAGAGCAACTGGACAAATACGATGAGTGGGCCGACCGCTTTGAGGACCTGCCTCTCTATTTCATGACTTTCCATGGGCAGCAGAGCATCAGGTGAGATTCCAAGGCCGAGGGTTTTCAGAGCATGGGAATGCAGGAGAACAGATCCCCAACAGAATTTTCAGGAATGCTGGCTTTTCTGCTGGGATGGTCTAGAGACTGCTTGTAATTGACTCTTGAATTCCTTGCTTCTTCCTCTTCCCAGGACTGTGATAGACACAATGCAACATGCAGTATACGTGTACGACATTTGTCATGTGGTCATCGACAATCTGCAGTTCATGATGGGGCACGAGCCGCTGTCCACAGACAGGTGACACCCTCTTGTGTAACTGGAATGCACTTGAACACGCGTGTCTTCGTAGGCAGCTGGCCCTTAGGCACACGCTGCGTTCTTGATTTCTGACCTGTGTGCCGGTACACACCACCCTGTGTGTATTTCTGCCTTCACAGACGTGTGGGTTGTGGCAGTGGGAAGTATGGAGAGGAACCTAAGTGTGAGTTCTTGGGTAGAGTGAAGTAGTGTGGGTCTGTGGCCTGGGGAGATGCGAATGAATCAAGAGTGTGTGTATGCTCTTGTGCTTCTGCCTGTGTCCGATAACCTCTTCACTTTGTTGGGGTGGGGGCAGGATTGCAGCTCAAGACTACATCGTCGGGGCCTTTCGAAAGTTTGCAACAGACAATAGCTGCCACGTGACACTGGTCATTCACCCCCGGAAGGAGGATGACGATAAGGAACTGCAGACAGCGTCCATTTTTGGCTCAGCCAAAGTGAGTGGCTTTTAGAGGAGCCCAAGCTTAGGAGGGTAGAGGGGGCAGGTGTGACCAGGGATGGCCCTCACTCAGCCTTAAATCATCTTGACTGCCCACTTAGAAGAGGCAGGAGACAGCTGTCGCTGCCTTGGGGCCATGACATGAGGAGTACGTGTGCTGGGAATATAAAGGCTGATGATAGTTGGTCCTTTGCCCTCCTTGTCCTCTAAGAGCTCACATCATCCAGTGGGGGAAATAGCAAGACCGTGATTATAACTCAGTATGATAAGAGCTACAGTAGGCAACACAGGCATTGGGGGAGCCGCGAAACGTCTGAGTCAGCCTGGGACATCTGGGGAGACTTCTTCACCCATTTGGGGAGAGGAGGTGTCAACAAAGGTTAGGTTGAGTTTTGGCAGACAGTAAGTGCTAAATAATTGAATAAATGGGAGGGCCTTCTGGGCAGCGGGACCAGCCCAGTCCTGGAGCTTCCAGGGGTACACTGAGTGCCTGTTACATGGCAGGCCGGCTGGGCACAGGGCATACAGGGTGGGGAGCACAAACTGTGCCACAATGGAACAGACATGGAGCTAGGGAAGAGAGTAACACAGAAGTGGGAAGATGATGGTTCGTTCTTTGTTTATGGGGATCAAGAATGGTTTCTGATAAAGTGTGACATTCTTTTTTTTGAATTTTTTTTTTTTTTAGCGTTTTATTTTTGAGACAGGGAGAGACAGAACATGAACAGGGGAGGGGCAGAGAGAGAGGGAGACACAGAATCGGAAACAGGCTCCAGGCTCTGAGCCGTCAGCACAGAGCCCGACGCGGGGCTCGAACTCACGGACCGCGAAATCATGACCTGAGCCGAAGTCAGCCGCTTAACCGACTGAGCCACCCAGGCGCCCTAAAGTGTGACATTCTGATAGAGACCTGAGTGATAAGAAGCAGGGGTTGAGTGGGGTGGTGGGCTGTGGAAAAGTGTTACAATCAGAGGGAATGGCGTGTACAGAATCTACGGCAGCAGTGAGTAGTCAAGGAACTGAAGGATTCAGGTGGCCCCAGGTTGTGGTCAGTAGTCCATGGCTTTGCCATTCTTCCCTGGACCCTCAACCTTCCTTTTTACTTCTCATATATCTTCTTCTCACTGCTCCTTCCTCCTTTTGCCCCCATCCCCCAGGCAAGCCAGGAAGCGGACAACGTTCTGATCCTACAGGACAGGAAATTGGTAACTGGTCCAGGGAAACGGTATCTGCAGGTGTCCAAGAACCGCTTTGATGGAGACGTAGGTGTCTTCCCACTTGAATTCAACAAGAGCTCTCTTACCTTCTCCATACCACCAAAGAGCAAGGCTCGGCTCAAGAAGGTCAAGGATGACAATGGGCTAGCGACCAAAAAGCCCTCTTCTGGCAAAAAGGGGGCTGTGCCCCAGAACTCTGAGACTTGCTTGGATCAGGCCCACCAGCCCTGCCAGCCAGACCCCTCCAAGCCCTCCAGGTGAAGGCCGTTCAGAGCCGGACACTGAAATGAGCCTGGCCGGACAGGCAGGGGCATAGACTTTTTTAGCCCTCTGCCAAGACTACCTCTGTCCTGTGGGCCTAAGCTAGGGGTCCTCCACAGAGGGTCCTAACCTAGGGCAGAGTTCCATAGTGAGAGACTTGAGAACTTCCTGTGTGCCAGGCTTCGTTCTAGGTCCTGGGAATACAGCACTGACAAGACAGATGAGCTCCCTGCCTCCCTAGAACCTGCAGTCTGATAAGCAAGACAAGAGAAATAATGAACAAACACAAAACGTATTTTTAGACAGTGAGATACACCACGAAGAAAAGAAAACAGGGCAATACGTACAGCCTAGTGTAGATTAAGGTCGGAACAGATATCTCTAAGCAGAGGACATCGGAGATGGGGCTTAAAGGACTAGGATTGAG